CGCTGTGGACGCCGACGGTCGCACGCAGTCCATCGATGAAGCCTCTGAGCCCGGCGACGACGACGCTATGGACGCCAACGGTCGATCACAGGCTGTCGACAATGGCTCCCAGTCCAGCGACGAAGACACTATGGACGCCGACGGTCGCACGCAGTCCATCGATGAAACCTCTCAGCTCGGCAACGACGACGCTATGGACGCCGACGGCCGCTCACAGGCTGTCGACAAGGGCTCCCAGTCCAGCGAAGAAGACACTATGGACGACGACAGCCACACGCAGTCTACCGACAAAGACTCTGAGCCCAGCGAAGACGACGCTATGGACGCCGACGGTCGCACGCAGCTCATCGACGAGGACTCCCAGTCCAGTGACGAAGACGCTTTGGACGCCAACGGTTGCTCACAGCCTGTGGGCGAGGGCTCCCAGTCCAGCGACGAAGACCCTATGGACGACGACGGCCGCGCACAGTCTACCGACAAAGACTCTGAGTCCAGCGACGACGACGCTATGGACGCCGACGGTCGCACACAGCTCATCGACGAGGACCCCCAGCCCGGCGACGACGACGCTTTATACTCCAACGGTCGCGCGCAGCCCATTGACAAGGATCCCCAGTCGAGTAACGAGAAGGGTCGCGCGCGGCCCTCTTGCGCCGACAACTCAAAGTCTCAATCCCAATTCCAGTCAATGTCCGGCTCGCAGCCGATACGTACGACTCCCTCTCTCAGCATCTTCACCTTATCTCCTGTCGCCGACCCCCTTTCTACATATTTCAAACCGTGGCACACCCTTGCCGGGCCTGGAGTACCGCCGCACGGAGGTGCGCTACGGGACAATTCTGGTCCTGAGCCCTCTTACCCCCGTATTCGATCGCCGTATGTTGGCCCTCAAAACTCGTCGTATAACTATTTCAACACCTCGGACCCTTCCTTCTCTTCCCATGGTTTCGTCAAGCAGCCTCCACACCCCGCCCCCGCCGCAACTCGTCCCACCCCGCGGCCTCCACCGTCCTCCAAAAGTAGCACCGCACCTCGCCCGCACCCCGCTCCCGCCGCACCTCGTCCACGCCCTGCTCCTACCGCACCTCGTCCACGCCCTGCTCCTACCGCACCTCGTCCCATTCCTCAGCCCTCCACGTCCCCCCAAGGCAGTATCGCATCCATTCATCCTGCTCGTTCTTTACAACGCAACGGAAGCTATGCGCTGATGAGTCAAAGCAACGAATCGGACGCTAGCACCTCCCTCAACGGTGAACATCACTCCAGTGCTGAGCAGCACAGAGTCCCTTCGCCTATATTTGTGCAACCGCCGTCGGTGAGTAGCTCCTTATCATACGGTGTTCCCAATGGATGCTAATCCATGTCTCTAGCGCGCTCACCTGGAGCGTGAAGCCACGCCAACTCAGCGTGATTATCGCCCATCCTCTGGCGGTGCAAGCGGCGGTGAGATGGTATTTCAATCCGCGATGATAACCATGATGGAGACATTGATCAAGGAGAGTCGGGATACCCGGTAAGTTGGCGAACCCATATGCGTCATTCTATCGTGTTATCGACTGATTCTTGTATGCGCACAGGGCCGTGATGACGCGTGTTCTTTCCCGCCTCGAGAGCGGCGAGGCAGAACAAGGTGCCACAGCTCCAGCTCATGGCGCGCGGCGCGGTCGTGGAGGTGGGAGACCTATCACAGGAGGTGACGCGTCTGTCTCAGACGCAGATGACGAGACAAGTCCCAAGAAGACCAAGAAGAAGAAGAAGTCGGTAGCGATGGCTCTCAGTGATCCTGCCAATTACAACGCGAAGTTGTTCCTCCAGGTAAGCAACCGTTCCTCTGTAGTATCCTTGCAGTACTCATCACCCGCTCAGAGCTGCGTCCGCAAACACCTCGATGCAATGTGTAGCGTTGCATCGATAGCAGAGCTCGTTAAGGAGCAACCTCCGATCAGCGATTCAGACGTCGAAGATTTCAACGACAACTTGCACGGTGCTCTTACCTGCACGGTTGAGAATTTCCGCGTTGACTGGATACGTCCTTGGACCACCACACCGTTCAACCAGCTTGCTCGTGAGATCTTTATAGATCACTTCTTGACCGCGTTGCCCGGATACGAGCTGGACTCAGAGATCGTCATCTCTCCAGTTTTGCGCACGAAGAAGATCATCGGGCATATCTTGGATAAACACATGGATGGCAAGCGGTCCAAGTACAAGGAGGCCCTCCATCCGCCTTCCGAAGAGGCCCGCAACGAAAAGCTACGCATCAAAGCCATGCGCTCTCGGCAGTCCGGGGTGAGTGGAGTTCGCTTCTTGTAGAGTACTTGAGCTTATTTGATTGCTTCTCAGATTTCTCAGACGCGACGATCGATCGCCGCACAGCTCAAAATCCACCGTGTCAACAAGATGCTGCAGAAACTCCTGCCCGGCCACATGAGTGGAGACGAGACGGATGACGAAGTCAAGACTCACCCTCCCCTCTTTCGCATGAAGAAGGTACCATGGCGTAGTCAACAACTTAACGAGTGGTTGTGGACACTCAGCTGCCAGCACATCGACAACTTCAAGACGCCAGTAGGCGCTCGAGCGAGTCCAGGCAATCCGCCCCGATCCCGCTACCTTCCCACAAACGCCCCCGACCAGATCGGCCCCGTTGCGAAGGGATTGTGGCGCAACTGCTATGATCGAAAGTGGCTCAGGGCTTGTCAGCCGTATGAGATCGCCATGCTTGAGATCATTGACGAAGACTTCGACTTCGCCTTGCCTCTCAGGCCCAGGACACCATTTCCGAACTCGATCGATGCCAAGGCATTGCGTAAGGCCATGCGCTCCAAGTAGTCGTGAGTGAACAAAGAACAACTACGATCTACATGCTGACGTCCACTGACAGGTGGCTCGTCTATGTTATACCCATGATGTATATGATGTTGTGTAACACTGTCCCCTCTAGCAGCGCTAGAGATATTTAACAACTTTCGAATGTATCGGAAGCCCCCGACCAGCAGTGAATCAAGCAGCCGTGAAAAACGGAGCTCTTGGATGGCTCACTGCCATTCTCATCGCTTTTACAGCGTGGGATCTGGCAAATTCGCGCTTGAAAATCCTGACGCTCCTCCGAATCGTCGCGCGTTATGAAGTGATTTTACCCGACTAGTACACCACCGCATCCTTTGGCCAGGTATGCGTAAGCTCACGAACCAGCGCCGTCAGTGCTACCGACATTCTCGTCCTCTCCAGCGGCCCCGCCTCGTCGCTCTATCGCCCACCCTTCAGCCCATCGTCCGCACCCACGCGACCATTGCCGCCTGCTCGATGCCGCTGTCACCCGTGAATTCGCTCAAGCCCCATACCTGGCTCGTCGAACTCTCGTTCACGACTCCGCTAAGCCCATTCAGGCTTGACCTTGCGCTCAACTGTGCGTTCCCATCCGGTTCAAGCCCGCCAGTGCGCTTGACCCTCCGCTCGACCATCGACGCAGCTCAGGTACGTATCCCTTTGCTCGCGCTCACGATATCTCAGTCGAGCGTTCTCCCAGACACGCTCCCGCCCCAGCGATAATCTGTGCCGCGCTCACTACGGTCGAGGAGCTTCACCCCGGAGTAGAACCTTGAGCGTTCTGCGCATGAAGAGGCAATCTCGTCAGTAACGTGCATTGTTCTGTAGTCTGTATGATACTGACTTTCCGTACCGCGTCTTGTCGCGCACGTCCGCAAGGCGCGCTCGTGAATAGTAGCTATGAGAGCTCCGGGTGCCACTGCGCTCGTGGATCTGGAGCCACTGCGCTCGTAGCTCCGGAGCCACTGCGCTCGTAGCTCTGAGCGCCACTGCGTTCATAGCTCTAGGCGCCACTGCGCTCGTAGCTTCCAGCGCAATCGCACTGCGATGCGATTGCGCTGGAAGCTACCGGCCGGTAGCTCCCACTGCAGCAATATGTTCGCCTCCTTGCTTGAGGCTCTGATTAGCTTCGATCCGGGCGCATGTGATGGTAGTCCTATCGCACTGCGCGACGAGTCTGTCTGGTGCCGAAAATTCTGAGGAGCTTGCCAACACCAGGTAGTAGAACGTTGTATACTAGCTAACAGTGGATCTAATTAAACGCACACGGGAGGAATTGTCGCATGCGACGATGGTGATGACGGTCAATTCTGTCGCAAAACATCAGTGAAATTCCGTACAGAAACCAACATGACTTACGCGATCTAGAGCTCACTCGAGTGGGCCTAAGAGATTCGCGGGTGGCAGCGGCATCGAGCAGGTGGCGATGGGCGTGTGGGTGGGTGCGGATGGGTGGGTGCGGACGCTGGGCTCGCTGGTTCGTGAGCGGCAGGGCGAAGAAACATTAACGATCGGGTTTAGAGAGAGTCAAAAGGAAGGCGCTACTTACACGTCTCGGTGCCGAACATAAAACCTGGTAAGTGGCCGACCAGGCTGAGGCCATGAATCCTGGGCATGACCTGGTCTGCGGCAGACCAGGCCGATTCCATGATACCCAGTGGCGCGCATATCAGGCTCGGAACATGAGTCAGCCAGGTTACGTGGACCCACCATGTTCTTTGCACGGTCGGGGGCGGATCGTGATGCCTTACGCCACCCCGGGCGGGCGCAGACCACGGGCCGACCATGATTCCTGTTCTTTGTCCGGTCCGGCGCGGACCAGACAAAGAACGTGACCGTGACAGGTTCCATGGCAGTACCATGTTCCAGGTCCTATTCGGGCACCGAATATTCGGGATTTCTCGTCGTGCGATGAGCGTACGCAAACGTGCAGGAGCCACTCCCGCGATGACCGGCCCGGGCGGCGACCGCCCGACTCGGCGGCAATGAATGGCATCCTCGCTGTCCACCACGTCCTCAGGGCTTCTCTCCATCGCCTTTGACACCCAAACGCAACAACTCTTCTGCGTTTTTGCCATCTCGATCCAAGGACGACGTCTTCACTGAGCACAGACGGCCTACCATCACCACTGTGTCCGGTCCGCGACGACGTCCTCAAGCGCGTCTCCGAGATGGAAAATGCAGCGGGTGAAGCAGCTCAGGGCGCGAAACCAGAAGCTTCGGCTTTGCAGGTGGCTCGCGGTGACGAACGGTGCGCCGCCTGGAACAGTACGCCCCCCATAAACCGTTTGCCCACCGAGCTCCTCCTCCGTATTTTTGCCGCCTGCTTTCAGCCCACGAGCTTCGTCGAGGACGACCCAAGACGAACCCACCTGCGGCGCACGGTGCTCCTCCTCGTCTGTCGCGGGTGGCGGGACTTCATCGAGAGTACTCCGACACTCTGGACATTCGTCTCGCCGCACACGCCTCCGCCCCTTTACGACCTGCTACTGTCACGCGCGGCTGGGGCGGGCCTCGATTTCTCATTCAAATGCGAAGACAGGTCGGAATGTTCTTTCTCCCCGCATTTTTCTCCCGAAATTGCTCTTCTTGACTCACCTGATGAAGAAGACGACCGGACGACAAGCGATGGGGAGGATGACGACGACGACGACGACGACGATGACGAAGATGGGAGGGAAGAGGAAGAAGCGCAGGACGAGGATGAAGATGGGGAGGCGGGCGATGGGCATTCTGAGCGAGGATGGATTATCGACTGCGAAGAGTATTCATCCAAGGTCTGGTCAGAGGTCGCCGGAGCGGCGATCGCCACTCAATCGAAACGGACGCGCAGTCTTGCCTTGGTGGATTCCGATTGGCTGTTCTACACCTTGCAGTTCTTCGAAGCCCTCTTCCAAGACAGAACGTGGCCCATCCTCACGGACCTGTTCGTCGATCACACCAGCATAGACGAAGGCTCATCTCCTCCTCGCAACGCCGAGTTCTTTCTTCTCACGCAGGCGCGTTTCCCGAAACTCCAACACCTCACCCTCGACATGGTCCTCCCCATCGAGCCGGCGCTGTTTCCTCAGCTCAGAACACTCAACCTCATCGGCCCGACAGTGCATTGGCCTCCTCTTGAAGACTTCCTGCTCTGCCTCTCTCAATCTCCTCAGCTCGAAATACTCCGCATACGGCAGGAACTTGATATGTCACAAGACGGGCCCACGGCTCGCCACTATCCTCCACCGGCGCCCACATCCACACTCCAGCTCCCTTTGACGCTACCCCATCTGCGTTCGTTGAGCCTTGGTGCCGCACGTCATGAGGAAGTCAAGCTGCTCCTGCGGGCCTTCCCTCTTGCTCGCCCCGACCTCTATGTTACCGGTCTCTTCAACGAAGATTGGCGGCGGCCGCATGCGAATGTCCACCCCAGCCGCTGCCTCAGCATCCTCGACGCCTTCTTTCCTGACTGCGGGGACACAGTGCCGATACCTGTTCCCCGCTCGGTACAGAGGTTGTACGTCTATGCCACCCTCTTCCGGGCTACCATCAAGGGACTAGCCGACGACGACCCCCCAACCACTCTGTTCGAGTGGAGCGCTTCCTCCACGACTCGGCAGTCCCTCGACGGCGCAGGCACCAGCCGCTACGGCCTCTCCTGCGGCATCAACGACGTCGTCACGCTCTTCAGCGGATCACCCTTGCGGCGCATCAGCTTCTCCACCGACGACGTGTGCCCCGCAGACGGCCAGTGGGACAGACTGTTTACGACGTTTCCTGCTCTCGAGCACCTCGAGCTCATCGGCAACGGAGCGCCGATTGGCCTCCTCCACGCGCTCACCCCTGCCCCGTCCTTGTCGAGCGTCACAGACAGCGGCCCCTGTCGTGCTCTCCGGGAACTGGGCTGCTTCGTCTACCCAGCGCCGGAGGCCGCGGAGGTGGTCTTCCAGACGATAGTCGAGTGCCTCCGAACGCGGGCGCGGCACGGCATGCATCCGCTGCGTCAAGTCGAGGTGCGCGTGCCGGTGCCGAGTGACGAAGGTGCAAAGAAAAGGTTCCAGTTCGGGGTCGGACCTTACCTGGAAGAGTTGCGAGAGCTGGTCGAGGGAGAGGTCGACTTCAGGGATATCGCTTCTTACGATTGACGTCCTGTAGCGTGCCGGGTAGCAAACGTGTTGTGCTTGAAAGAGGCTTGGCCATTTGAAAGGCAGCTGCAGAGCAACTCACCACACCGCCCTCATCGAGGAGTGTAATCAAGGAATGCTTAGCCACTGGCTGCGACGAGCACCTGCCAGTCTGGACCTGCCTGCACGTCGTGTCGGACTGGCCGTTGCTCGTCGCGAGCACATCCGGGTCGACAGTCGGCCGTGTCCTTCTCCTTTCTCGCTGTCGTCGTCGCGAACGTCCGTGCACCGCCCGTGTCCGAGCAGAAGGCAAGCGCGGCGGGCTCGCTCATTGACTAAACCCATACTAAGTACCACGAGCTTCGTCCTTCATTGGACTGCGGTGACCCCTCCATCTCATCTCCGTAGGTCAGTCACAGGAATTCCTAGCATTTTTAGGGCGGCTCGACTGAAATGAAAGCAACGCGACGACCTGCGTCATCGCCACCCTCTGCGGATCCGCGCGCGGCCACGGAAACGCCGACGTCATTCTCGAGCCATGAGCACGTGTAGCTCGTCTGCATCCGGTTATTTCTGAACGCTGTGCACGGAGCCCGATGGCGGCTCGGCACCGCTGGTATCACACCTACTCGAGCACGCAAACACGAAGTAAACTTCTTCCGGATGACTATGACAATGCTCTATAAACCAGAGGTTCTGCATCCACAGCTTGGTGAAGAGGCTGCTATCCACCGTCTCTTGTGACTCGTGAGTTTCAACCCTTTGCACGCAACCTCCCGTTCTGGCGCTGACGCTCACCTATGTTCCGATCGGAGCTGGCATCCTTGTCACGCGGGGTGTGCAGGCCGTTGAGAACGAGCCGCGGCGCGTTTCCATGTTAACGATGCTTCGCACGGTTCTCCGCGAGCGGTCCATCGTCGTCGTCGCTGTCGCCGCAGGCCGACGAGAGGACGTCGATGATGTTGTGGTAGTCCGGGTGGTCACCAACGTAGAAAGGACGGGCGTGAGCAACCGTTCTCTGCCAAGCCATGTGCGTGATGACCGGCCCGGGTGGCGACCAGCTCGACTTGGCAATGGCAATGGCCTCCTCTTCCGCTGATCCCAGCTTGCTTCCACTGTCCACCACGCCTCCACCCCCTTTGGCACCCAAACTCAACAACTCTTCTGCATTTTTTCCATCTCGGTCCAAGGATGACGCCTTCAAGCACAGACGGCCTTCCACCACCACTGTGTCCGGTCCGCGACGACGTTCCCAAGCGCGTCCCCTGGAACAGTACACCCTCCATCAACCGTCTGCCCACCAAGCTCCTCCTCCGCATCTTCGCCGCCTGCTGCCAGCCCACCAGCTTCGTCAAGGAGGACCCAAGACGAACCCACCTGCGGCGCACGGTGCTCCTCCTCGTCTGTCGCAGGTGGCGGGACTTCATCGAGAGTACTCCGACACTCTGGACATTCGTCTCGCCGCACACGCCTCCGCACCTGTACGATCTGTTGCTGTCACGCGCGACTGGGGCGGGCCTCGACTTCTCGTTCAACCATGAATACAGGTCGGATTGGCCTTCTTCATCGCCCCTTTCTCCCGTCTATACATCCCTCGACCTGCCTGATGGAGAAGACGATCAGACGATAAGGAATGGGGAGGACAGCGACGGCGAGAGGGAGGATGGCCATTCGGAGCACGCTCGATGGATCGATATCCACTTCAACTGGACAGAGGTGGCCGGGGCGGTGATCGCCGCTCAATCGAAACGGACACGCAGTCTTGCGTTGGTGGATACCATTGGTTCGTTGCGCTACACCTCGCCGTTCTTCGAAGCCCTCTTTCAGGACAGAACGTGGCCCATCCTCACAGACTTGTCCGTCCCTTTCACCTATGTGCACGATCACGGATCTCCTGCTCGCAATGCCGAGTTCTTGTCTCTCACCCCGGCGCGCTTCCCGAGACTCCAACACCTCACCCTCGACATGGTCCTCCCCATCGAGCCGACGCTGTTTCCTCAGCTCAAGACACTCAACCTCACAGGCCCTACAGTGCATTGGCCTCCTGTGGAAGACTTCCTCCTCTGCCTCTCTCAATCTCCTCGGCTCGAAGAGCTCTTCATACGGCGCAAGCGGCCGGGTGGGTTCCAAGACGGACCTGCGGCTCGTCACTATCCCCCACCGGCACCCACATCTACACTCCAACTCCCTTTGACGCTACCCCGTCTGCGCTCGTTGGGCCTTGGTGCCGCGCGTCACGAGGAGGTCATGCTGCTCCTTCAGGCCTTTCCCTTTGCTCGCGCCGACCTCAATGTTACCGGTCTCTTCAATGAGGATTGGCGCCACCCGCCCGCGAACGTCGACCTCGGCCGTTGCCTCAGCATCATCGACGCCTTCTTTCCTGAACGCGGGGAGACAACGCCGATCCCTTTTCCCCGCTCGGTACAAAGGTTGTCCGTCTGTGCGAACCAATACGAGGCTACCATCAAGGGACTAGCCGACGACGACCCCCCAACCACTCTGTTCGAGTGGAGCGCTTCTTCCACGAGGGAATCCCTCGACGGTGCACCCCCCAGCCACTACGACCTCACCTGCAGCATCAACGACGTCATCACGCTCTTCCGCGGATCGCCCTTGCGGCGCATCAGGTTCTCCAGCGACGACGTGGGCCCCGCAGACGGTCAGTGGCACAGACTGTTTGCGGCGTTCCCCACTCTCGAGCACCTCGAGGTCGTTGGCGACGGAACACCGATTGGCCTCCTCCATGCGCTCACCCCCACCCCGTCCTTGTCGAACGTTGCGGACAGCGGCCCCTGTCGTGCTCTCCGGGAACTGTCCTGCTTCGTCCGCCCGCCGCCAGAGACCACGGAGGCGATCTTCCTAACGATGATCGAGTGTCTCCGAGCGCGGGCACGGCACGGCATGCACCCGCTGCGCCAAGTCGGGGTGCACGTGCCGATGTCGAGCTACGCGGATCCAGAAGAAAGGTTCCAGTTCGCGGTCGAACCTTACCTGGAGGAGTTGCGAGAGCTGGTCGAGGGAGAGGTCGATTTCGTGGATCTCGCTTTTTACGATTGACATCCTGTAGCGCGCCGGGTAGCAGACGTCTTATGCTTGTAATCGATGTGCTCGCCCCTGCGGCTTGCGGTGCTCGACGTTCGTTGTCCGTCTGAGCGTGATGGACATGCTGATCGTACTACCCGGACTCACAGGGCCGTTCAGGGTACATGGAGAGTATCGGTTACAAACGGCGAACGCCGCCCAATCCCGGCGCCACGCACAGCTCGCCCTCATCAAAAACGCTTGGGCAAAAGGCAGGAGCAACTCGCCACACCGCCCTAATCGAGGAACAGCCACTAGCTGCAACGAGGACCTGCCTGCCTGCACGTCTTGCCGGACTGGCTGTTGCTCGTCACGAGCACGCCCGGGTCGACGGTGTCCTCAGCTGCTCCTTTGTCGTCGCCGTCGTCGTCGCGAACGTCCGTGCACCGCCCGCGTCCAAGAAGCAGGTAAGCGCGGCGCCCGGCTCGGGGACTGTCACCCAGTGCGTGTTCTGCGTTTGGTCGCACGACGGGTGCTGCCAGACGACCGGTTGGCTCGTTCGCCAGGCCCGCACTAGACCACGAGCTTCGTTCTTCACCGGACCGCGGACACCCCTCCGTCTCATCTCTGTAGGTCAGCTACAGGGCATTTGCTGAGCACCATGATTTGGAGCGGCTCGACTGAAGTGAGGGCAACCCGACAACCAGCACCGTCGCCACCCGTCATGGGTCCACGCGCGGCCAAAGCCGCGGCACGGAAACGCCGACGTCGCTAGACCTCGAGCCATGACGCATGAGTTGTAGCTCGACGCCCTCAAGGGATACCGGCGGCACCTTCCTATGCATCCGGCTATTTCTGCACGCTCCCGGAGCCCGACGGCGACTCACGTCTCGCTGGTATCACACCTACTCGAGCACGCAAGCGCGAAGCAAACTTCTTCTTCCGGACGACTACGCCGTGGGCGCAATGCTCCGCAAATTAGAGATTCTACATGTAACATCTGCAGCTTGGCGAAGAGGCTGCTGTCCATCATCCTGTGACTCGTGAATTTCAATCCATTGCACGCAACCTTGCGTTCCGGCGCTGATGCTCACCTGTGTTCTCTGTACAGGAGGCTGCTGCACTTCATGGACGAGGTCTGCAGAGAACACGGGAGGACCCTACGCTCGGTCTCTTATAGTATGCCCCCTAGGGCCGTAGCGAACCCCCATCCTTCGTGCTACAGATCATGACCAAGTTCTGCTATGATATTATGCGCACGTCGACGGCGACTCATCTTCGCCGTCGTCCAGCCCGACCAGTCCCCCAAGCCCGCCCTTCTGCGCGTGGAGGCAGACGATATCTTCGTCCGGCTCCCCCACGGCTCCACATTTGAGCCCTCCTCGCGCCCGGCCTACGCGTTCGAGGACGAAGCGGAGCTCCAAGGTGTACGACTACGTGCCGCCGCCGCCGCCCTCCGTCGCGTCGCGTCCCACAGCCGTGCTGGATTTCATCCGCGTCGACGTTCGGTGCGCGCTTCGCTCGCCTCCCGTCTCTTGCACGGCGTCCGGGATCCCCGCAAAGCGCAACTACGACGTGACCGTGTCCACGGACGATGAAGGCGAGGACGACGAAAAGGACGGCGGTGACTCGGACGTCCCCCCGCGCCGAGCCCCCTGCCAGGAGAAGCCCGTCTGCCCCGTCGCGGAGCAGGTGCGCCACGCGCTGGAGCCGACGCTGCATGAGGGCTCGCGGACGAGATCGCGCGCATCGACGCCGCGGCGCGCGTGCGGGCGGCGCGCCATGCCGCCGGCGAACTTGGATGCTCCGGCGCGCGATCGCGGAGAGCGAGGCAATGGCGCGCGCGCGCGCCGAAGACGACGACGACGCCTCCCGCATCGGCGATCGCGCGTGGGTCGGAGGGCTGATGCGCGCCGGTGTCCGCAGTGCACTACGTACAATGTTGGATCCAGTACAAGGATCGAATACCGGCTCGGATACTTCTTGTAATGCACCTCGTCCACCACCCGCCTGAGCCTCGTGAGGTACCGCCTCTCGGCCTCCAGCTCGCCCGGCGGAGGCTCGTCCCCCTCGTCGTACTCGAGGTGCGGCACGACCGTCCACACCCCCACCCCGACCGTCGCGCGCGCACCATTTTCCTGGCAAACACGCATCTGACGGAGGTCGGGGTACGAGAACCGAAGCACCGAAGGCCCGTCTTCGTCATCGTCCTATGCGTCACGGCTCTTGTTGTCCTCGACCCCGCTCGCAGTGCCGTCTTCGCCACCGCGGCCGTCGCTTCCGCCGGGGCGTCAAGAGCCCGAACGCGCGCCCGTCGCCGCTGTACATGTCGCTGGCGAGCGTGAGGCGCACGAGCGGCACGCCGCGGAGCAGCGATGAGGTCCCAGAGGCCCTTGTAGTCGTCGTGTAGGTGCTCCTTGGACGGGTACGCATGGGGGGCGACCGCGAGCACCTCATTGGAGCTGGCATCCTTGTCCCTGCGGGGTGTGCAGGCCGTTGAGGACGAGGCCGCCGCGGGGTGTGTCCATGTTGACGATGCTTCGCGCTATTCTCCGCGAGCGGTGCGTCGTCGTCGTCGCTGTCGTCGCTGACCGAGGAGAGGACGTCGATGATGTGGTAGTCCGGGTGGTCACCAACGTTTTCGGGAATCTCCACGGGCGGTGGAGGAAGTTTGAGCAGACCTGGACAGAGTATCTGAAAAAGGGAGGGGGAGAGAAAATCGATGAAAAAGCAATGAGAGAAACACAGATGGCATGAACGAAGAAAGGACGAGCGTGCAACATGCAGGAGCGAATGTTCTCTGCCAAAGCAATGTGCGCACTGCGCGATGACCGGTCCGGGTGGCGACCGGCTCGACTTGGCAATGATTGGCAATGGCAACAGGCCTCCTGATCCCTTGCTTCCACTGTCCACCACGCCCTCAGGCCTCAGGGATTCTCCCCATCTCCTTTGGCACCCGAAATCAACAACTCTTCTGCGTTTTTCCATCTCGATCCAAGGATAACGCCTTCAAGCACAGACGGCCTGCCACCACCACTGTGTCCGGTCCACGACGACGTTCCCAAGCGCGTCCCCGAGATGGAAGAGGGTGAAGCGGCTCAGGGCGAGAAACCGAAGGCTTGGGCTCTGCAGGTGGCTCGCGGCGACGAACGGTGCGCCGCCTGGAACAGTACGCCCTCCATCAACCGTCTGCCCACCGAGCTCCTCCTCCACATCTTCGCCGCCTGTTGCCAGCCCACAAGCTTCGCCAAGGAAGACCCAAGACGAACCCACCTGCGGCGCACGGTGCTCCTCCTCGTCTGTCGCAGGTGGCGGGACTTCATCGAGAGTACTCCAACACTCTGGACTTTCGTCTCGCCACACACGCCTCCGCACCTGTACGATCTGCTGCTGTCGCGAGCGGGTGGGGCGGGCCTCGATTTCTCGTTCAAATATGATGAAAGGTCGGATTGGCGTTCGTCATCGCCCCTTTATCCCGACTATACATCTCTCGACCTGCACAACGGGGTGAGAAGTGATGGGGACGAGGACGGTGATTCTCCCATATGGCCTCAGGCAATGTCGCCCGAATATTCTCCCCAGCCTGCATCCTTCGACCTGCCTGATGGCGAAACCGACCAGACGATAAGCGATGGGGAGGACGGTGACGGCGAGGACGGCGACGGCGAGGACGGCGACGGCGACGGCGACGGCGACGGGGAGAAGGGCGATGGCCATTCGGAGCAAGGATGGATCGTCCGCTTCAGCTGGTCAGAAGTGGCTGGGGCGGCGATCGCCGCTCAATCGAACCGGACACGCAGTCTTGCCTTGGTGAATACCGCTCCGTTGTGCACCTTTCCGTTCTTCAAAGCCCTTTTCCAGGACAAAACGTGGCCCATCCTCATGGAATTGTCCGTCGAATTCACCGATATGGAGGAAGACACATCTCCTGCTCGCCACGCCGAGTTCTTGTCCCTCACGCCGGCGCTCTTCCCGAGACTCCAACATCTCACCCTAAACATGGTCCTCCCCATCGAGCCGACGCTGTTTCCTCGGCTCAAGACACTCAACCTCATCGGTCCTACAGCGCATTGGCCTCCTCTGGAAGACTTCCTCGTCTGCCTTTCTCAATCTCCTCAGCTCGAAACACTCCGCATACGCCAAGAATTCAATATGTCACGAGACGGACCCGCGGCTCGTCACTATCCTCCACCGGCGCCCACATCCACACTCCAACTCCCTTTGAGGCTACCCCGTTTACGTTCGTTGAGCCTTGGTGCCGTGCGTCACGAGGAGGTCATGCTGCTCCTTCAGGCTTTCCCTCTTGCTCGCGCCGACCTCGATGTTACTGGTCTTTTCAACAAAGATTGGCGGCAGCCGCCCGCGCACGTCGACCCCGGCCGTTGCCTCAGCATCGTTGACGCCTTCTTTCCTGACCGCGGGGAGACAATGCCGATCCCTTTTCCCCGCTCGATGCAGAGGTTGTTCGTTTATGCCTGCTCGACCAGCGCTTCCATCAGGGGACTAGCCGACGACGACCCCCCAACCCCTCTGTTCCAGTGGAGCGCTTCCCTGGTGCCTCCACATACTGTCCGTACGCCCCACAGCCGCTACGACCTCCCCTGCGGCATCAATGATATCGTCACGCTCTTCCGCGGATCCCCTTTGCGGCGCGTTCAGTTCTACACCTTCGACTCGCCCGCTGTGGCAGACGGCCAGTGGCACAGACTGTTTGCGGCGTTTCCCACTCTCGAACACCTCGAGCTTCACGGCAACGAAGAGTCGATTGACCTCTTCCACGCGCTCACCCCTGCCCCGTCCCCGTCGAACATTGCAGACGGCGGCCCCGGTCACGCTCTCCGGGAGCTGTCCTGCGACATCAGCAACTCCCCGGTGCCGGGGGCCACGGAGGCGATCTACCGGACACTAGTCGAGTGCCTCCGAGCGCGGGAGCGGCGCGGGATGCACCCGCTGCGTCAAGTCAACATCTACGTGTGGACGTCGAGCGAGGACCGCGCAGGGGAGGGGGTCCAGTTCGAGGTCGAACGTTACCTGGAAGAGTTGCGAGAGCTGGTCGAGGTAGGGGTAGAGGTCGGTTCCAGGTATCCTCTTTATTACGATTGACGCCCTGTAGCGCGCCGGGTAGCAGTCGTCTTGTGCTTGAAAGAGGCTTGCCAGCCAAAAGGCGGGAGCGACTCATCACACCGCCCTTATCAAGGAGTGTGATCAAGGAGTAGCCACTAGCTGCAACGAGCACCTGCCAGTCTAGGCCTGCCTCCACCTCTTGCCGGACTGGCTGTTGCTCGTCGCGAGCACCCCCGGGTCGACAGTGTCCTCAGCTCCTTTGTCGTCGCTGTCGTCGCGGACGTCCGTGCACCGCCCGCGTCCAAGAAGAAGGCAAGCGCGGCGCCCGGCGTGGGACCGCCATAGTTCTGCTTTTGGCACGAGGGGCGCTGTGAGACGACCGAGCGCCGGTTAGCGGCTGGTTCGTTCACCGAGCCCATCCTGGCACCAGCATCGTTCTTCACCGGTTACCCCTCCATCTCATCTCTGTAGGTCAGCTACAGGGGTTCTTGGCATTTGCTGAGCACCATGATTTAGAGCGGCTCGACTGGAACTGAACGTAAGTACTAGGGTTGATGCTGCGGTAATGACGGCTGCCGCAGACACCCCCTTCCTCGCTATCACCTCCGCCCGCGCCCACATAGAAGGTGCCCTGCGGTATCTCCTCTCACCACAATACATGCGTTTGGGCGCAGGCGAGGAAACCCTGTGTCTCTTTCTGTATTTGGCTGCGATCCATACTGACTCGTTGCGCACTTACCTAGCCTGTCAACCGAGTACGGACGAGCCGCCCACCGCAGTGTCGTGGTTCTCTACAGAGCCCCGGCTTGTGGTACGTGACAAGGGCTCGATGCGGAATGTGCTGCTCAACATGCCCCACTCCCGTAGGTGGGCGTTGCTCTATATAAGGAGGTCTGGAGGGCTCGAGGGGCAATGGTATGTCCACATCTCCCCAACACCCTTCTGAAATGCTCTCCCTCGCCCTCCAACTGTTGTTCCTTCCTGCCCTCCTAGCCTTCGCCCTGATCAGCGCAGCCAGGATACGCAGGCTTTCATTGGGAGAATCAACCACGAAACTGGGCGACGAACCCACAACCTCGACAGCACGGACACTGTTCCGCGACCGCAATTCCATCACCAGCCTCCTCGCCCCATCCGAAGGCGATCTCCCTTCGCTTCTCGCCGCGCGCGCCCACGCAAATGAGCGGTTCACCAACGCCTTCGACATCCACTCCACATTCACCTCCCCCTCTCGCGCCGTGCACGACACCTTCGTCCGGCGCATGAAGGCCCTCATCGACTCCAAGGCCACCGGTTGGTCGCGGATCCTCGACATCGCCGCCGCAGCGACGTCCACCTACACCCCCCGGCCGCCGCCGCCCAACCGTTCGACAAGACCGTCCGCGCGATCGTCCTCCACCTCGTCCTCGTCGCCCTCCTCGACGCCGACCCCGCCGCGCTCGAGTACCCCGCGCTCGACCGCTTCGCCGAGACGCTCAACGACCTCTGGACGCGCTCGAAGGCGCCCGCGCCGATCCCCCCGCACCTCCTCGCCGCGCTGCAGGCCCAGCTGCGGGCGTGGGTGCCGCGCACGCAGGAGAACGCGGGCGCGAACCACCTCGAGGTCATCATCCCCGCGTACGAGACCATGTGGCGCGTCGTCGCCGTCGCGCTCGCGCACGTCCACCTCGACCCGCGCCTCCGCGCCGGCTTCGACGCCTTCGGGGCGCGCCCGACCGCGGACGAGCTCGGCCGCGCCGCCGTCGACGGCGCGCCGAGCGCGCACAGCGTCGTCCTCGAGGTCCTCCGGCTGTACCCCCCGACGCGGCGGATCGCGCGGCACGTCCCGCGCGCCCCGCACGCCGACGCCGACGCCCACCACCCGCTCGCTGCGCTCGTCCAACGGTTCCTCTTCAACTTCAACACACGTCCGTCCACCCCCACGCGAGACTTCGACGTCCTCGTCGCCGACGTCGAAGCCGCCCAGCGCGAAGGCGCGGCGTGGGGCCCCGACCCGGACGCGTTCGACCCGCGCCGCTGGGAGCGCGCGGGCGGGTCCCCGTCGTCGCCGCCGCCGTCCGCCGCGGCGCTGCTCGCGTTCGGGCATGGGAGGCTCAAGTGCGTCGCCAGCGGGTGGGCGCCGGGCGCGGCGGCGGCGATCGTCGCGGGCGTGCTGAGCGCGGGGGCGCGCGTCGAGCGCGCGGACGGCGCGGACGCGGTGTCCGGCGGGCGAGATGCGTGGAGGGGCTGGTCCCTCGTCGTGCCGGCTGAGGAGGACGCGTGAGGTCGTCCTTGGAGTTTTGTTAAGACCGTCTCGTTTATGTGCTTTTTGACCCCAATGGCTCGGATTACAGTGTATGCACTATACCCCGGACTCGTAGGAGTTAACTGTGTTCGCCGGTCGCGGACGTTGTACATGTGTGTATATTACGCATACCCTGCCGTTTATCGCATGAATTAGTGTATCTTTCTGGCCTCGCCCTTCGCGTGCCCGAATCGACCCGCACTCCGCTCGGCATCTAGCGTTGGCTCTCGCGCGGGCTCGGACGGTTGGACGGACGCTCGCCGAGTGACATCGACGCCGGCAGAGCGGGATCGGGGGCGGCCCTCGCGCTGTATTTGCGCAGGGAAATCAAATCCGCGGCGGGGGGACCGAGCGCGTTCACCGGGATGGTTATTTGTGCGGACGGCGCGCCGTGCGGCTCGGGTGTCGCGGGACGCAAGAACGCGCTTTCCAAGCTCCTCGTTGGAACAGGATGACTCGACTGGGGAGAAAAGCGGTAAGTTGGCGCGCGGCCTCGGGGAGACGACCAGGGGCGCGCAGAACAGCGCGCGGCTTCGGGGCGCGACGCTCTCGTAAGAGAGACGTCTCCAGCGTCGCGTGCTCTCTTCGGGCGGGCGACGGAAGACAGACGACGACGGACGGAGACGGATGGGGCGGCTTGTGGAGTGCGCAGCGCGCAGGCCGGGGAGGGAAGTTGGGCGGTATAAAGCTTGTTAGGGGGCGGAGAACGAGAGCCCGCACACACGAACTTACACGCACACACAGACGACGCGCACCGACACCGAAACCATGTCCGCGCCCAAAGTTTGGTTCAGTGAGTCCCACCCGCGCCCTGCCCCTGCCCGCTTCTGACCCCGCCCTCCCAGTCACGGGCGCATCCTCCGGGTTCGGCCTCGAGATGGCGCGGAGCGCGCTCGCGCACGGCGACCGCGTCGTCGCGACGCTCCGCGACCCCGCCGCGCTCTCCGCGTTCGCGACGCGGCACGCGCCCGCCGCGCTCGTCGTCCTCCCGCTCGACGTGACCGCGCCGGGGGCGGTGCGCGCGGCGTTCCGCGCGGCGCTGCAGGCGTTCGGGCGCGTCGACGTCGTGTTCGCGAACGCGGGCGCGGTCGTCGCGGGCGAGGTCGAGAGCGTCGAGGGCGCGCGGGCGCGGGGGATGTTCGAGACGAACTTCTGGGGTGCGGCGGAGGTGCTGTGCGAGGCGGTGCGCGTGTTCCGGGAGGAGAACGTGCCGCGGGGCGGGAGGCTGATCGTGAACAGCGCGGGGGCGGGGGTGGTGGGGTACCCGCTCCTTGGCTGGTATTGCGCGTCGAAGCACGGTGCGTGCGGGGGTCTGCGCGCGGTTTGTGGGGACGGGGCTGACGAGGACTTGGGCTCTGGTAGCACTCGAAGGCCTCACGGAGACACTGGCGAAGGAGGTGCACCCGGATTGGAACATCAAGGTAAGCGTAGGCCACCAAAAGCGTAAGAAAATAAGCTTACCTCGCAAGCATACAGATTACGCTCGTCGAGGCCGGCGCGTTCTCGACCGAGCCCGCGGCGAAGCGGGTGCTCGCGCCGCGGCATCCGGCGTACACCGACCCGGCGCTGCGGACATCCGCCGTGCGCGCCGCGTTCGAGGACCCGGCGGCGGCGACCGCGTACCCGCAGTCGGACACGGCGAAGGGCGTAGAGAGACTCTACGCGCTGAGCGAGCTCGCGGCGCCGCCACTGCGCTTGCCGCTTGGACCGGATGGCGTTGAGTTCGTGCGGGCGCACATTCGGGAGATGCAGCGGGACGTGGAGGAGTATGCGGGGTGGTCGGAGGGCCTGGAAACGGATACGTAGACGCGATGGACGAGGGGCGGCGAGTTGTTGCTTAGTCTATATGATTGCCTCATGTGGAGGTATATTAAGCAGGGTCCATGAACTTGGCAAGACATTGGAACGTTCGGGTCGTCCGGATCGTTGTTCCCGAACAGTACTGTTCTGCTGCCCTCCGGAGAGAAACGCTCCGCGGTGACGTGGCAGTCGCGGTCAAGGGCGAAGGCCAACCTCCACTCGAGCTTGCCGGTGGCCCCCGTCGTTCGAGGCAGAATGCCGGGAACACAACCCCCGCACCGAGCCACGTTTGACCATAGCCAGACTGCGGTTCCTGAATGCAGAACGTCCTTCGGAAGGACGAGACGTCAGCGCGAGTCGAGGGACTGTGCTGCGGCAGCTCGTGCTTGCCTCGCTGCCCGCCGCGCAGGGTGCAGATGAACTCACATCCATGCATTCGAACATGGGAGTTCCTTTCTCGTGGTGACCGACATCGTCCCCACTTGGGCCAAGGGGCGGCGGCGTCGCCGTCGTTGGGCACGCGACTGGAGGTCAGCGCATCGGCGGCGCGCAGAAGACCTGACCTTCGTGCATGCGGGGCTCGCCGTGGTGTGCGAGATGCAGAGAACCGAGGAGCGCGAGCCACCGAGGCCGTCGGGCCTGCAGATATAAGATGAATGGGAGGCGGCGGGCAGAGGGCGGTATCACTCACCTGCACGCTCGTCACCGCTTCGTCGAACACTCGCCAATAACTCGCGCCTTCTCACCATGTCGTCCATGCTGTCCCATGCTGCTTCCCGTCCATCGGTGGTATTCTTGCCGGCGACGCTGTATTCGACGAACAAAGATATGCGCAAGCACTGCTCTCGGCGCGCGCTTCAAGAATATGCTCGCCTCGGATTCCGAGAGGCGGGCGCAACCCGTATCGAAATCACGTACGTCTCTCGGTCCAAGACAAGACCTGCCAACTCACTTAGATCGCATAGAACTGGGTACCACATCAGTCCAAGCATGTCCACAACGCACCCTTGGGTGACCGTCCGCTATCTAGACACAGAAGATCGCATCATTTGTCATCAAGTACGAAACGGGAGCATATATAACCGCTTCCACGTCTTCCAAGAGTCTTCTTTCAACTTGCGCAAGTCAATGCGCCCGATCAAGTTCATTAGTGTTAAACCAGAAGATGCGAAGTCGGCGCAGAGGAAGATGGTGAGCGTTGATGATGACTTGATTGATCATCCGGCTGAAGCACAAACACAGAAGTAGAGAATCTGTGATCATATGGGACATCGTTGCGCAAATGTATAATAAATCTTGATTTTCAGTCTATCAGCTGAGAAGTGTGAGGGATGTAGGAGCCGACACGTACATCAACGAGATCCCGAGCCCGCTGCCATGTATCTGAGCGCGTCCGCACGGCCTCGTTCCATGTTGACTTTCGTGAGGACAGGGATCGATAACCAAATCATGGCCGTGAGGAAGAAGAACGCGTATCGTATATTGCCGGTCGTGTCGGCAATGACTCCAACGACCAGAGGTCCGAGGAAGGAGCTGGACTGGACGCAAACGTGAGACTTCCCATGGCGTGATCTGTTGTGGAGAGAACATACCTTGTCCGTGATCGAGAACAGCGCGTACCACCGCGCTTCTTCGCCCGGCGGGATGATCTCTGCGTAAAGCGCACGAGCGTACCCTTGGAACGCACCATAGACCGATCCCTGTGCGCAGCGTTCATTGTCAGCGGCACGACGTTGCAGGAGGAATCGGCACTCACGAAATAGACGGCGAGAACAAACATCTCGCCAGGGGTCGTCAGGCCTCCGAACTTTACCGCGGAGCTCTGGAAGAACGGGAGGAAGCCTAGGCATCCATACGCAGGCACCAGTGATGCAATGATCACCAGCGCCGTGACCGTCTGGAGGTTCGACCATCCCCTCCGGCGCTGGATCATCGGCACCACGAGCGAGCCCGCGATGCCTGCCGTCGGAGAGATCGCGCCGATGAGGATGAGGGACGACGCAGGCATGTGGAGCACCGTCTTGCCGAACAGAATCGCGGTGTTCGTGATCGTGGTGAAGCCGTCGGAGAGAAGGAACCAAGCGGCGAGATACACGAAGGTGTTGCGCAGCTTGCGGACCTCGCGGTAGTGCAACATGCGCCCGAGGCGCTTCCACGCCGCCACGATCTCGCGGGACATGCGCCATTCACGCTCGGGGGACGAGGGGGCTGTGCCGTCGAGTTCGATAGCGATGGCGGCGGCGGTCGCGGACGCACCGGGGAGCCAGGCTGCAGCAGGGAGAGTGAATAGTGCCCACCAGAGGCCGCTGAGACCGATGGCGAGGCGCAGAGCATCGGTGGAGCCCTTCATCAGGGTTACGGGAATGAGAGTAAGGATGAGCACGATGATTCCTGCCGAGTAACCCATCGCGATTCCTTGAGAGGATATGCGGGAAATGGTCGCGGAGAGGATTTTCTCGTGGTTGACCTTGGCAGCCTTGAGTTCGGAGCTCTCGGTGCCCTCTTCGTGCGCCAAGAGAGGCTGTTCGGCATCAGCGTCAGTGTCTGGATGTTCGTACGACGTCCTCGCATGGCTGGAAGAGGCGACCCGTGCGACCTCGTTGCGGGCTTCGAGCACTTCTTGCGCTTCGTGCGCGAGAGTGGGGATATATGCGTTCAGGGTGACCATAGAAGCCCCGAAGCCGACGTTGGCGCAGACGGCGAGCACTGCAACAAGAGGCCACAACGGAGAGGTAGACGGTAACAGCAGGAATAGGACTGCCGCCGTTGAGCCAAGTGCGGCAAAGGAGAGGAGCGCCTTTTTGCGATGTGCAGCTAGTGGGGATGCTCGTCAGCTCGGATGTACGCTACACATCGCAACAAACTATCAGGGTCTTCGACGGGCCCTCGACTGCTGCCACCCACACAGGTTGTGCGCAGACAGACGAGGCATTAGTCCAAGAACGCGTGGGCGACCTGCCCTCTCAGCATGCAAGTAGTGCCCGAGAATCCTCGCAGCCAGCCATACTGCTTCATAGGTAGACACAGAAAGCTAGATTCATCAGGAATGACTTACGGTGGTCCGCAATGCCACCCATAGAGATGACAACTAAGGCCTGCAAGGCCACGGAGAACGAAAGGACATACAAGCTGGGGCGCGTGAGATCTGAATCCCCAGTACGAACTAGAGCATGGGCGTACCTGAAGCTCGCCGTGTCCACCCAAAACCAACCTAGCTTCACTACGCATCTTGCCTCCTCGCCCGACTCCGTGGTTGTTGGGGCACCCGAGACAGAAGAACACGGTTCAGTCTTGTTGGGAAGGAGGAACCCGTTGTCCCTGCGAGTGCATGCAAAATTGGTTTGTATAAAGCCCGGGTGATCCTACCAGGAGCGTACCTTGCAAACTGCTCCAAGCATATCGGCAGGAAGAGGGTTACAGAAGCGATCACGAAGACTTCGCTGTGATGGCGTACAGAGCTCAATGATGGCAGCTTCAAGAATAACAATACCTCACGTACCTAGCAAATGCATAGCTGAACCATCCCCACAGGTGCTTCCGGTATTTGGTTTTATCAAAGCGGGGAACCTCGTGTTCGTAGTGACTTGCAGCACTCGCGTCGGCCATCGGAATATTGCTAGACAGTTCTCGCTGGAAGCAGTTGTGTGTGGGCTTCAATCATCAATGGCGCGGGGCCTGCAGAAGATGCAAGCAAAGAGGGGTGACAGAAATGGCAGTAGGCAAGGAGAGTTCGCCGTCGCTGCGTGTGTTCGGACATCTTGCCTTCGCCGGACCGCAGTGGCTGGCTGAGGGCCGGGGTCCGGAAGCCGCGGTGCTCGAGCCCCGCGTGCCGCCGTGCGGCCTCCTTCCTCCGACCACCACACTCTGGGACCTCCCTTTCTCTATCTTGCCATCCACGCCTCAGGCTCACCATGGAAGAAGAAAAACAGGAGGATGTTAAACCGAAGATCACCCTCGTCGTCGATTTCGAGGGGCAGAGTGAGTTGAACACGTTCGAGGACGCGCTCACGACGCGTCGCGTACTTAGACGCGACGCGCCCCTCTGAGCTTCGATCCTATCTCGTACCCCTTATTCAACCTATCTTGCAGCATGCTCAGTGAAAGTGAAGCCGGGGATGACATTCAAGAAGCTTTTTGAGGCGGCCGAGGCGAGTCCATTGACATCGTGCCCTGGCTCGCGCCCTCTGACCCCACACTTAGAAACGCTTCGGAAAGGAACCTGGTCGGTGTTCTAGCAGCGATCGCGAGAAGGAGCGTGGCTTATGAACTGCTATCTCACCAGGAACTTTCAAGTTCACCTTTACCGGACAGAGACTCCGTCCAGAAGAGACCCCACTGGAGGTGCGTTCTCCGCGTGTCTGTGCCTGCGCCGTGCGTGTTCCCAATCCCATCTACCGCAGCACAATATGGAGGACGGAGACCAGATCGATGCGCATTTGCAGCAGGTGAGCCCCCTGGCCGTCAGTGTGTTGTAAACTTCTGACCACCGTTCAGCTTGGTGGTGGATGGTAGGCTGGTGGAGGCAAATACCCAATGTAATCAAGATCGTCATATTGTATTATCCGCCTCTAGTCTTGTATCTCTTTTGTGCGTCTATCCTTGCTCTATGAATGCTTTATATCTATCGATAGCCCCCTTGATCCCCTTCTAACGCATCTTCAACTTTCGTTGCGGAGCATGCCCCCCACGAGTCTGCAAGTGTAGGGAAGATGCTACCCCGACCGGCCTTGTGCGCGCATGTAGCCCATGAGGATGTCTTCTCTGGGCTAAACTATCGTTGGGCAGTGTAAACTACAGGCTCTAGGGCCTGCAGCGGGCTGCATAGCTGACCATGCCAGTCTCTCGCGGTTCTCGCGTGCGTAGGTTCTCCCGTGTCCACGTGGAGGCCTCGCGCTACACGACATGCACATTGGTGTCGGACCTCGACACGCCCCCGGTACGCAAGTCATCTCATGCTACCTCACCACGAACACGCCTCCTGCGCCCCACGATTCGCGTCCAATCCTCGAGATTTCAAGTCTTCTCCGAACCTCCCCCCCTTCTCCACTGCGGATCCACGCATAAGACTGCCCCCGACCGCGCATCCTGCAACACACGGCCTACGCCCCTCACCGTCGCTCGTCCGACTGTAAAATAGACCAAGGCTCCTCCGTAGGGGAGATGCCTACCCTCCACAGTCTCAGCCTTCGCCGTCGCGGAACTACACTCGACAAGCCTCCAGCCTCCGACAAGCCTTCTCTCGCCTCTACCGTCTCTACCACCCACTCTATCAGGCACCTCTTCAGCACTCGCAAACGCAAACCTCCTTCCACCTCAGACACCGACAGCAGCAAGAGCTCCAACATGGGTAACGCTCCCTCCGACATGAACAACGCCAACGGCAGCGTCAACGGCGCCGCCGCCGCGCGCTCCAAAGCTGCCCGGCCCGCGACGATGGGCTCGGGCACGGTGCGTGGGATGCCTGGAGCTGAGCCCTCGACCCCGCGCCGCACCTCGACGACCCCGCCAACGGTCGCCGCCCCACTCGTGACGAAGGAGCACGGCGAGCGCTCCTGGGAGGCGGAGCTGGAGGCGAACCAGACGAAGACGCAAGACACGCAGGACGTCCCGCAGGTCGTCGACGAGCCCCCGGTGACGGGCGACGTCGACATCGACGTCGGGGAGTTCCGCGACCTCGAGGCGGGTCTGCCTGCGGTGGGCTCGTTCGACATCAGCGAGGTCACGGAGGAGCCCCAGCAGTTCCGCGACGCCCCGGAGACCATCACCGAGCCGCCGAAGGTTCTCGAGTCGGTCGTGGAGGCAGAGGAACCGCAGACGGAGGCGGTTGCAGCGATACCCGTCGATACCCCGACCTCGACCCCGGCTCTGAACGATGATGCGACGCCCCACGTAGAGCTCAAGACCGAGCCCGAGGCGTTCTCGATGGACGACGAGCCGACGGTTCCTCCCCAGCACCCCGACTCTGACGAGGACGACGCTGAGCACCACCACCTCTCCCACCACGACGCGGCCTCGGACGCCACCGCTGTCTCCCCGCCGACCCCTCCACAGGTGCCGATGCCGATGCCGATGCCCGTCTCCCCAGTGTCCTCACCTCACCCGCACATCTGGGCGCCCGGGACCTACGTGCTCGTGAACGCGCGCGGGGGGACGGCGGTCGACCTGCACGGGGCCGACGACCGGACACTGATCGGCTTCCACAAGCACGGAGGCGAGAACCAGCAGTGGGAGTTCATCCCGTGTGGGCGCGGGTACGTCATCCGCTGCGTGCGCCGCGCCAAGGACGGGCACGCGTTGTACCTCACCACCGAGGGCGGCGTTGGGGAGATGAAGGCAGTCGTGGCGAGCCCGTATCCGGTTACGTGGCAGGTCGAGCAGGACGGGGACGCGATCCGGTGAGTGTTCGCGTTGGTTCAGCTTGTTGGAAGCCCGATGCTGATGGTGTCGGGTTACAGGGTGTGCTGGCCTGACACGAAGCTGGTCTGGGACCTCGCGGACTGGGGCAACAGCAAGCTCGGGACCAAAGTACGTTGTCTCGCGCTCTTCGGTCGCTGCTCGTCTTGACACCTGGCTCCAGATTCACCTCATGGAGAGGAAGCACAAGGAGCGCTGCCAGGAATGGCACTTCACGCGCTGCACGCCCACCCAAGCGCACGACCATGGGCACGACGACGAGCACGAAGTCGTCAGCGCCCGCGCGCTCTCGCCCCCAGCGTCGACGGAGACGGTGACGGTCATGGAGGAGGCTGGCCACATCACGACGACGCGCACGACGACAACCACCGTGATCACGACGGTCACGGAGGTGACGCGCACGCCGAAAGGGTTCCTGCACTCTCCCCGGGGGCAGCGCAAGAGCATTGGGTATCGGTGAAGACCGCGTTCAAACAGTGGCGACTCAGACAGCCGTCGTGGAGGCCAGGAGAGACGATGGTGTGGATGAGAACTCTACTGTGGTGCAAAGGACCAGCATGACGCTGAGCACACGGCCGAGGAGCCTTTTGAATTTCTATTGCTTCGTCGTTTGGTATGTTTTGTTTGCTTTCGTGCACATGTACTGTCTTGCCTCCTTCTCACTGCTGTAGCATATAACTTAGTTTGAACACATGGGCTTGTTTTGTCTTGCTTAGAAGTAGACACGCATGATGAAATTCTTGTCTACATTCCACCCTGCATTCACGATGCTCAAGCCCGGCCCAACGGTCACCAACAGTCTGGACTCTGGCATACTTAGACGCGTTGGGCGGTCACGTGTGTGGAATCTTAAGTTACATTCCGGATCTGGTTTGTCGTTTTCGAAGTCCCCTCGTCCTCTATTCCATGCGTTATCGTCTTCTACCACCACTGTCTTATAGCACAACGAGTTGCAGAGGAAGATCCTCTCCATCCCGGCTTCTCTTCAGCACCTTCGTCGCCGACAAACACGGAAGAGCTTCCAAACACTACCAGGAACAATTCTTGCTTGCCTCTAGATCTTCTGCAAATGTATGTATCTTCGAGAATCCGAGCTCTACAACGCTAACATCATGCTGTCAGTGTCCTATCAAGGTCTCGCGGGCATTCTTACACACTTATTGCCCGCTCCAAGTTATGGAGAACCTTTCGTCTGGGAGGGACAATACCGACGACGCTGAATGGCTCAGGTGTGTATAGCATATGCCCATCTTTCTGCATGTTCTGCGGCTCATCGTGCTCTCAGGGTATCTGCTCTCCACACCCTTGCCTCCCACTCCCGATTCTTCCTCAACCTCCGCTCGCAAGAAAGCACCTACCACTCCCTCATCCTCTTCCGCCTCTCTCCCGCGCACCTCCCCGAATCCGACACGGACACCCCCGCGAACCTCCGGGACCAGCTCTACGTGATGGAGGCGAACTGCCCGCACCTCGGCGCGGACATGTCGCACGCGGAGATCGAGGAGTGCGACACGGGCGTCGTCGCTGTTTGCCCGTGGCACAGGTGCGTAGTGTCGGGCCCGGGATCGTGCGCGACTGGGCGGGGTTGATGGTCTCATGGGCGAAGTGGGCTAGGTACGACTTCGACCTGAAGACGGGCCATAGCGAGATGGGCTTGAAGGCTTGCACCTACGCGACGGACGTGCGGACGGCGGACGACGGAGGGGAGCACCTGTGGGTCGAGACTCCGGAGGGAGGGAGCGGGTGGCGGCTGGTGGAGTTTCGGCCGGTGTCTGAAGGTGCGTGCGTGCTCATTGAGCGTGTCGTCGCTGCTACAACATGGACTGCAGAATTCGCGGATCCACCCCCGCCACCACCCGACCTTTCTCATCTGGCTGCTCCCTCCGCGGTTCCGAAGGAGCCTGAACCTTTGGTGCCGCTGGAGGACGCACCGACGACACTTGTTCAATGGGCGGTGCTCATCCTGAACACGGCCGACCCCATGCTTAAGGTGAGGATATGCACTTCTCGACGCGGCGGTCTCCAACCTCGAAGCAGGTGCAACGGACAAGACATGCCGTGCAGCTGTTCCGCACTGGGAAGCTCAAAAGCATCGGACACCGGTCCTCAAAAGCTCCTCGACCGCCTGAAGTACCACCACGAGAGGAGCTGTATACGCAGAATCAAGTGGATTCCGTGAAGATGTCGCGCAAGCGGAACAAGGCGATCATGTTGCACGCGTTGGCGAACATCGAGCAGTGGGCGTGAGTGGAGGTCCTGGTGCAGACGACGCGCATGCTCATTCTCTTCCTCCCAGTATTGATCTTGCGTAAGTACTCTCCATCGCGGAGACCGGCTAGATCCTCATATGCCAACAGTTGGGACATCATCGCACGCTACGGCCCCTCGCATCCCGACCTCCCGCCCGCGTTCTTCGCCGACTTCACGAAGATGGCGCTGGACGAGTCCAAGCACTTCTCCCTCCTCACCGCACGCCTCGCCGCGCTCTCACCCACCACTCCATACGGTTCGCTCCCGGTGCACGCCGGGCTCTGGGAGTCCGCACAAGTCACGTTCCCGTCCCTCCGCGCGCGCCTCGCGATTATCCACCTGGTCCACGAGGCGCGCGGGCTGGACGTGAACCCGAACACGATCGACAAGTTCCGGCGCGCGGGCGACTGGGACACGGTCAAGGTGCTCGAGACGATCCACCACGACGAGGTGACGCACGTCACCACCGGCCATCGGTGGTTCACATGGGTGTGCGCGAAGCAGGGCGTGGAACCGGTCGAGACGTTCAGAGAGGAGGTGCGGAGGGGGTGGAGAGGCGACTTGAAGGGGCCGTTCAACGCCGAAGACCGGGAGAAGGCGGGACTGACCCCAGACTTTTACGAGAACCTGAAGGGGGAGATGCAAGGCACGCTGTACGGACAGGGGAGGGGCCAGCAGGCGGATGTTGCGGTGGGGTACGAGGGTGCAGGGCGGTAATACATTAGGTGCGCCCGGCAGCGATGGTGGTACACGAAACGGTGCTAACCAGTCCATAGATACAACACAAGAATGCACACTTCTACCAGTCACGATGGTGGTGCTCCGCCGGGAGCACCGTCTCCTCAGCCACCGCCTCCTGCGCGGCGAGCCCCTTCTGGTACGCCGTCCACGCCAGATAGTTCCCCTTCATCTCGCCGTAGAACGCGTCAAAGTCCTTGCAGACGTGCGCGCCGTTCCCCGCGGGCTCGCGTGTGTAGTTGCGCGCGAACGCGTCCGGGGGCTCGAGCGTCGCGTCCGCGGAGCAGAGCACGGACTGGCGGATGAAGTTGACGCAGTGCGCGAGGTGGCCCATCTGGTGGCCGCCCGCGCTCGGCGGCGCGTCCTGCGCGAGCGCGGTGCGCACGGAGCGCAGGCAGTGGAGCATGTGCGACTCGGCGACGACGAGCATCCGGCGGTTCGCGCCGAAGTGCACGTTGCCGTCGCCCGCGGTCGCGGTGAACATCCACTCCTGCGTCGCCTGCGGGGCCCAGAGCGGGTACCGCTGCGAGTCTTCCGGGAGCAGCAGGACCGCGCGCTCGGCGGCGGGGACGGGCATGAGCGGCGGGAGGTCTTCGTCGACGAACGCTGGCCCGGAGTCGGGGGTCAGCGCGTCCGCACGGGCGTGCGCGGGGAGACGCACTGTAGTGGCTCAATGGGGGGCTCCGCTTGGAGGCGGCGCGGTGCGTCGCGCGGACGTGGAGGACGTCTATCCACGCGTTGAGCAGTGCGAGGACGACGACGGCGACGAATGCGAGGGGGCGTGAGGACATGCGTGGTCGGATGGGGAGCAGAGACGAGGGAGGATGGAGGCGCGGGGGCTTCGTCTGCCGTGCTCGCTCCCCGCTCGTGGACCGGTGCCCGTGGTCGTCTGTTTAGGTTCGGAGCTGCTGAGCGCTGATGCCGGCGCGTTTCGTGCCCTACTGCCTCCCGCTCCCGCTGCTCCGCTCCACGCCGGGTTGTATGTGGCAGCTGCCGTGTTCCACATACGGCCTTCAGGGATCCCGCAGGTCCAAGTCCGCCCTCGCCCGCCCTCGCCTCATCTCGAACGCATTCTTCTGCATGCAGTGCACTGTTTCCGTCATCTATCATGGGCGGCCTGTACAGAGAACAAGGACGTCTACGGGCGTGGATGATTGCGGACAGCCTCGCGAAGCCCCGCAGGACGCGCTCCCACGACCTCTGCTCGCGCGGGGGGCTGCGATCCTTCTCCAGTGCCTGCGCACACGGATCCCCCGCTTCTCCAGGGCTCCGCGTTCGTCGTGGGATCAAGAACATCGCACGTGTCGGGCGGACGGGAAGCCCATAGCAAAGTTTTTGCCAGTACGGGGTTTGCATGTAGCAAAGCGACCAGCCAGAGGAAACGGAACGCTTATGCGGTATTCGATTAGACATTTGCACCGCTCGCATGAGGTTATGTTTGAGTTCAGTATACGCCACGAAGAGCACGGCGTACGCGATAATCAAACGTCGGAGACGACGTCGCGCGGTGACATTTCGGCATTGATAGACAGCGTCGGAAACGCGAAGTCCGCCTCCGGTGTGCACAGCCGGCACGGGTGTACTGAAGTTGCAGTATGGACTAGGACGGGAAGCATCCGGATACGACAATAATGATAGATAGGCATTCTGGGGTCACATACAGCACTCCGCACACGCACACGCCGCATTCGCTCATCCAAGATGCCTCTGTGCCCGACTCGGACTCTTCAAATCGTCTGATACTGATACATGTACATGCCTGCGCGCGCGTCAGCTCCCGCTTTCCCTCGTGCGGCTCGAAAAGCAATCGCACTCACCATACGTCGTGTTCTGCGTCGTCCACACGTCGAGCAGGCAACCCGAGCCCTGGCCAGGCGCGCACGCGACCTCGAACGTCGGCATCGTGCCCCACTTGCACGGGAAACGCCCGACCTCGGTCTCCTCGCCCCGCCGCGGGCGCACGCGCCGCACGGGCTCGCCCGCCTTCGCCCGCGGGCGCGTCGCGTACGAGAGCGCGCGGACGTCCACCGGGCGGTCGCCCGCGTCGAGCATCGTCACCTCGAGCTCGAGCGGCTCGTCGTCGCCGCTCCACCGGAACGGCTCCGCCTCCGGGCCCTCGAGCGGGTCCGCGGGGCCGGGGAGGTGGACGACGAGCGAGCACTCGTCCATCCCGAAGTCGAGCGCGCGGAACTGCGCAACGGTGTGCACGGCGGGCGCGACGTGGAGGCGGCGCTCGCGCGGGTTGAGCGTCCCGAAGGCGCGCGCGAAGTACTCGTGCTCGCCGACCGGCGCGGGCTCGCGCGGGCGGTCGGGGAAGACTTGGGCGACGAGCCGGGGGAGGGTGAGCGCGGGGGCGAGGGTCGGGGGTTGCTGGCGTCCGGAGCGGTAGAGCGTGTCGAGGCCGTGGTAGGGTGAGGCGAACTCGAGCTCGCCTGGGGAGAGCGAGGCGTAGGTGGTGTCGAGGATCCGGTGCATGGCAAAGAGGGCGATGCCGTCTGTCGCGGCTACGAGAACGAGGAGGGCGAGGGTCCATGTGAGGCAGGACGGCGCACGCGACGACGCTGGACGATGGGACCAGTCGCCACGAGTCACTACGACGTCGCTGAGCGGAGGGAAGTGCATATAGCGACTGTATGCGCACCTTCATCGTGCTTGTTGTCGCCCTCTCCAAATTCGAGGGAGTCGCGGTCGCCATTGGGAAGAAGAGAGTAGTTCTCCGGAACGCTGGGGAGGGTGGTGTGGAACGGCATGGCGTAGGGAGAGAGCGAGGCGAGATGCTGGGCGCAAGACCTCTTCCGCTCCGCGCCAGAGAGAAAGTTTGATAAAAACGCACGGGCGGTGTTCAGCCCCTCCACTTGAGTCTCGAATACCGTCGCAGTTGACACTCTTCACTGTCAGGGACGGCTGTACTCGGCGGAACACACAACAGATAGAAGCTTCGGTCGTGGGCTTTTTACTCAGCCTTTGATGACAACGGAGCCGGCGAAAGAGGCTGTCCAGGTCATCTTTCCGGGCTGCTTCGTGGGGCTATTCTTGTTGACCGAAGAGCTGCAGTGGGCATGCGGGAGGAGGACGGTGACGGTGGTTGCAGAAGGAAAAGAGAGAGACTCTCGGCCCTCGGGGCGGCGCTCGCCGGTCAACTTGACGCGGAGATTCAACTGCATAGGCCTCCCGGCGCCCACTGGCACGGAGAAACGGGTCTGCTTCCCACCTCATCTGACTGGCACAACTCCCCTGGATGCTCGACCCTCGTGGGCGCGCCTCGTTCCCAGCTCCTCGCTGCTCCGGTGGGAAGCGGACCATCACTTGGACGCGCTCATACGGCGGTGCAACTACTCGCGAATACCGCCTCCACTTGACCTCGATTGATGTTCTCTTGCTGTCTGCTTCAGACATTCCCGAATGGGCTTCCTCTATCCTGTGCCTGCTCGCCCCTGGACTGACACCACCCGCGGCTTTGCGACCGTCCGCTCGCCCTCCACCTCGTCCCCAACGACTCTCTGGATACTCTCCGCCCTTCAAAGGTTGCAACATCCCTCCTCTACCATGACACCAAAGTGGCTCGAGTCCTTCGCTCTCACTGCAGCCATCTCTCTCCTCGTCGTCAACTTCACTTACAAGGCCTTCAGTCTCACTTGGCTCCTCCGCTCACAAGAGCCTGAGCTCATAAACAGTATGTCCCATTCCGCACCCCACACCTTTCCTCCCTCACGCGCGCCTTCACCACCCAGACGGAATCTGGGAGATCGACCGACCCCCCGTCGCGCTCGCCTTCGACGCCGGGCTCCACTACGACCTCAACGCCTCCGCCGCCTGGGCGGCCCTCGTGCCCGGGGACGGCCTCGTCCACCTCGGCCCCGCGCGCGAGCCGTTCCTCGTCTCGATGCTCCACCAGCTCCGCTGCCTGGACGTCATCCGCGACCAGCTCGCGAAGCCGCTCGCCGCGCGCACGGAGCAGCCCGCGCGCCACTGCATCAACTACGTCCGCCAGATGATCCTCTGCCGCTCCGGGCTCGAGCTCGACGCGTACCAGTACCCGAGCAACATCAAGCCCGTGGAGCCGCACCCGGAGCGGCGCTGCCTCGACTGGCGGAAGGTGTACGAGGCGGTGGAGGAGAACCAGCGGGAGCACGCGGCGTGGCTGGGCGCGCGCGAGATGCGGGCGGAGCTGTGAGCGGCGGGGCGTGGGCGCGCGAAGCCGGCGGCGGACGACCGGATCGCACGTTGAACGTAATGGAGCGTTCTTGTTCTTATCTTCTGCGGATGATCATCTCGGCGCGCACAGTGTCTCCTCGGCAATAGAGCGATCTTTGCACTGGTATGTCATTCGGTATCCGACCGCTGGTGCGAAATCCCCGGGCTGTGCTAGCAGCGCGAGCATCATCGTACTACACGTTCTCAAGTCGTGCCGGGCGCAGCGAGGCCAGCCTGACGGCATAGTCCCATGTTTTCCTCACGAGATATGGCTTCCCGTCTTCTACTTCGCGACGCACTCTGGGCTTCCTCAGTCGTGCAACCACCCCTAGAGCTTGACAGATGGGGCAGCTATGCTCGCGACGACGGTCTTTCCATTCACCCTTCACTGAACGTCAGATTCTAAGGAGGCGCCCCAAATCACACCTCAACGGTTTGGGCACTCCAGCTCTCGGCGAACGCTCCCGGTACGTGCCTCGCGATCCCGTCGCCTCGCACCATGCAGGGTTTCTGGTACGGCACGAAAGGCTCTGCTGATGCTATCCGCAGCTTCGCCACCATCGGTAACAAAGATTGCTTCCGCAGTGGCGAGTTCACGCGGGAACACTCGCCCTGGGCACATAAAGTTCCCGGCTCCAATCCGGCAACTTCGAGCGCAGTATACAAGCGTGCGTCGTTGGTTTAGGAAGATATAAAATATCATCATCGAAGACACATACAGAGGGAGAAGACTGCGAAACGTTGACCTGCGCAACCTCACAAAATGGTAAGCAGCGTGTCGCGCTCCCCTACTGTAGTAAGCTCATCTCACCTCAATCATCCTGCGCGGCCACGAGCCATTCCAGGTCCTGGATTGGCCCGTCGGAGGACTCAGATTCAGGTACAACAGCTCCGCGCTCTGCACGAAGTTCTTATTGAGTTAGATTTCAGAGGGGGCTCAAGATGCGCACCGAATACTCCCGCGATGGGAGATGCGTGGGTTGGGATCACTGCGAGCGCGGTGCAGAGAATGACGAGCAGGATTTTCGCGCGGGAGATCGTGTGGGGTGGCATCGTCGAGTAGGTGGTTCACTGATGCTGTGAACGGAATCAAGGGCGTATTTATGCGTCAATAAGGCGCTTTGAGAGAACGCCAGTGTCGAGCTTGGCGTAGCGGTGGTAGACCGGGCGCAGGCCCCGCCCAACTGACGTGCGGGCGCCGTGTTTGAGCAGACGCTTTGATCACAACCACACCTTGTACAAAATTACTTGGGGACCGGAAGTAGGCTATTTCTGGTTATCGCCCACTCAAGCTCGTCATAATGTCTGAATAATTGTTTAAGACTCGATTCTATGAAAGCTCTTCGAAGTGCTTCCTATTAGCGAAGCGTGGATGACATGCACCAAGGGTACTCACGACGACGCTCTTCCTTCCCGGGTGGTTTCTCCAGCCACCGGATCTCTTCGATGTGTAGGTCATCTAAGTCATCGTCGCTCGCTAAACCGTATTCATTAGTTCGGGATTGATCTCGGGGCCACACTCGTACCACGACGCGGTAAGGAATACTCGGCTACTGCTGCTTTGCGTATCGTCCCGCCTTATCGCGGAAAGGTAAGAGAACCGTCGACCAGTGAGCAGACACGTGTGATACGTACTCACCCCGTTCGGCGAGTCCTTGAGCAACTGGGTAGGCGTCGATCCCGGCTAGGAGCGTCGAAACGACCGCGAGGAGAGCCACAAAACGCGAGCAAGCTGGCATGGGTAAATCGAAAACCGAAAGAGTGTGGGGGATGGAGCTTCATCGGTAGGATTGGAGGCTCCTTCTTGAATCTTGAATGTCAATGCGCGTAGGGGTGCGGACAGCACGGTCCGATGGGTGGCAGTCACAGCGAGTAGGTTAGGGCATATTGATGCACGCTTCGGGAGGGATGATCTATCCAGTGCCATGTGGTTAGGTATACAGATAAGGACAGCGACGCCCACGGAGATGCATCAATCAGTGGCCGACCTGTCATCCAGCAGCAGGCGGCAGTGCAGAGCGCGGTCGTAACTGGCAGATTAATGGACTCTTCTGATTTAGTCTCGTGGGGAGTGAGGTATATCTGGGATTGTCAAGAGCCCGGATGTTATATAGCTATAGAGTTGGAAGATGTGATATCTTGTGTCAAACCTTGCTGCTATTCAACCCACAGTAGGTATACCGGGTCCATTGGAGGCTCGAAAGTTGAGCGTCTTTGACACAGTACGCACTACCACGTCGAGTACCCATAGGACCGAATGGAGACCGACTTTGGACCGAGTGACGTGAAGTAAATGCTCGATGAACCGGCACGAGTGAATAGAGTCATATTTAAAGGCCCCAGGAGATGTACAGCATGAACATCTAGGGAAATATCGTCATGCAGAGTCCCCAGGACCAGCATATCTGGAAGGTGATAATCTGGGCTCGGACAGTTTAATGTATCTGCCACCGAAGAGAACACTTACACGCTTTGACATGGAACTGTCAAGACATCTGCGGCCTCAGTGCGAATTTGTAGATCTGTGAAACACCGGGCCTGTTTCTGAGCGCCGAGGGAGATATTCTACCAAGAGCACTTTAAATCTCCCGCAGGCGACACGCCAATCGAGCGCCCCACGAGGCAGAGTGCGTTCAGTCACTGAATGACTGTGCTTGTATAGAGTCATATGCGAGATTTTTTCACTATCAAAACTGGAAACATGCGTTGCAGATCTTCCGGATGCCAGCGCGAGATGTACCGAATTCGACAGCAGCCTCCCCGCGGATTGATCGTACCAATTGACGTGTTTATAGCAAACGCCAGAGGAGCACATGTACAAGAACGAGAAACCAGTTCTTCTGGGACGGGTGTTCTGAACAGTTATGATTATTCGCGCGTAATTCATCGTGACATCTACCACTGGACGTACGGGAATGTTCGTTCTTTAGCGATCCTGTTGCTGGAGCCACTTGACCTCTTCAACATGCAAGTCATCTGCCGTGTCTGGTTGCAGCGTCAATTAGTAATATATACCAACGTGTAAGTTCACTAACACACCTTCGCGGGGAACACCGCTGGCCACGGGAGCCGCAAAGCCCGTACCATATAACATGGACATCAAAGCGAGGAAGAAGAACAACTGAGCAAGGTGAGGCATCTCTGTAGTGGCAGTATGAGTGGGTGGGTCGAAGTTAGTGGTTCCAATGAGGATCCTTTATAACACGTCGCACGCGTCCACGCATTTCCCTGTCCGGGCGTGGTGGTGTGAACTAAGCACCAAACTTAGGTACAGCCCTGCAGCGATCTGTTGTGTACGTACCTTCTCGTTCTTGCTCAGCGTACCGGAGTGGTGAGGGCCGGGAAGAACGACGTGTGGTGTCAAAAAAACGTTCATACCCGTCACGTCGGGCCCCTGCATTCTGATGACAAGTTCGATACGTTCCTGGAATCCCGGATAGGTCGATGTCAGAGCTGGATGGATTGTGGATGGATGTTTTCATCAAGAGGCACAGAAGTGCCAACCCTAGAGATAACAACGCTTTTTGGAAGTAAACTGAGAGGAGGGGAGCGATAAGAGGTCGACGCAGCAGCTGCCCACGAAGCGTATGCAGGAGGAACGACGGGGGCGGCTGGACGAGCCAAGCTACATGAAGCGTTGAATAAGCAGAATAACGTACTCTGAGCGACCTAGGAGGAAACGTTCACACGCCCTCGTGACCGTGATTGCATCTGAGGGTCGAGACTCGAGGCGCTGACGCGTCGCCCTTCTCCTCAAGCCCCACCATGGCCAGGGCTTAGCTGCGAGGTCTCCACGCTGTCTCTTCGTCTCCTAATCTGCGCATACGCTGTCGTCGCCCACACCGCAACTGGAATGCATCTTTTCCCTTCCTTGAAGGTCTCACAACGTCCACATCCCCGTCAAAGTTCAGCTTCCCAACACCCATTGGGGCGCGCTCAGACATGAACAGTGAGAAAATAGTACGCAAATTCTCTTAAGACACAATGCTGGTAGGAGACTCTCATGCCTAACGGTGCGTTAAAGACACTGTATTTCGTCGTAAGCGGGACTCATAGGCTGGGTTGGAATGTCAGCCTCGCGGAGCGCTGAGATCACTGTTCGCATTGGTTCTCCTGTTCCACGTATCCCTTCATTCAGTCCAAGTGCGACGTTGTAAAGCTCAGGTATGTCCATCCATCGGATCTCCGACGTTGACGCTCATCCTTCCTAGATGTCTGGCACATCATGTCGCCTACGACCGCTCAGCGCACTCCTGGGCTTTCATATCGTCGCCGCTCTCGTTATTTGTGGAAGGGGTCATCCAGCTGCGTACGAACTTCCTCCTCTTGCTCCCTCCCTATATGCGCGCCAAGACCCTGCGTCGTCCATCAACTGGTGGCCGTTCCCCGCGTATAGTCAATGGAACAAGCCGACCGATGCAGCGATCCCCTCGTCCCTCGTTGGGCCTACGGACGTCGCTGTTGGAACTCAACCATCTCAAACGGCTTCTACAACATCGCTTTCGGCCGGCCCTTCGCCTACCACTGGGGTCTCGACCACAACACCCTCCGCGCCATCCTCCACGACATCCGCTACGTCCGCTTCTTCCATAGTGCACATTGCCGCCCTGCCACCAGCGAGCCAACAGTCCTCAGTCACTAGACACCGCAACCAAGTGTTGGCCGACAGCCCCAAGGACTTCAATTTCGCTTTCCTCTCCCCCGTCTTTGCTATCTTAGGCGTCGGCGTTGGAATCGGCGTAACGATGCTTCTCTATCGCGTTCTCGGTGGTAGCCTCACCCCTCAAGGCTCCCATCTCAGGTCCGGTTCGGCCTACACGTCTAGCGCGCTCTCCCCTCACGGATATCCTGCCACTCCCCGTCGCTCCTCCCTCGTACCACCAGACCTGACCCCACGGCCAAACAGCGCCCTACTCGTGCCGAAGGAGACGCCTGGCGATGCCAAAGAGGAGAGCTCCTGGCTCATGCGGGCACTCTCCACTGTCAGCCGAACGTCCACCGCCACCGGAGCTCCCGCCCGCGACGCGGAACAAGACCCTTTTCTAGCAGACCCTACCGCTGTATGTGAAGTCGCTCGAGTCGACACTCAACGCCGGATTGCGCCCGGGTCACGCTCCATGTCCTCCGACCAGCATGACTATGGCGAAGAGGATGACGTGCTTGCTCAAGCTCCCCCCCGACACAAGTCCATTAGGCGTAGCATTCTGGAGCGTCTACGTCTGGGCACTATCCGCCGGCCTCGATTCCAGTCGTATCCTGAAGAGGGAGATGACGAGGAATATCTCGAGCGTCGGCGTACGATGCGGTCGTGGTCTGCTTCCCATCGACGACGCGAGAACTCGGGCCCTTGGGACGACGGGTCACCAATCCGGCGCCCGTCGCACATGCAAGAGAGGAGGGATCTCCTGGCGTCTCCTCCTGGGTTCCGCATCTTGCTCGAGGATCCGGAGTCTGGTTTCCTGCAGGAAGAAGACGGTTCGCCTGCGGTCTTGCCTTCGCGCGCTGCTACGATCATCACCTCCAAACAGGAACCTCCTTCGCAATCCTCCGACTCTGACGGTGCACATATCCCTCGTCCTCCCTCTGACAGGTTCACGCCCAAGCCAAAACGGAGGACGGCTGAGGACAAGCGCAATAGTCCTTTCACCCCTCCGAGCAAGGCGACTCTCGCTTCTGCACCGCAGTCCCCTAGAGTCTCGCGTCCGCTGTCTGAGCGCCCTCCTCCGTCCTATCATTCTCTCGTGGCACCCGCCCACGCTCCAGTTCCAGATTCCGCGCATATCGACATCTTGCCATTCAACCCGCCGTTGATCGCGTCCCCGCCCCTCCAGACGAGCCTCCTGTTTGGTCCCGCTCCCGAGCTTTCCCTCCGTCATTTCCCCGCTTCCCCGCCGTACCCCAGGGCCTCCAACGACGACACGCCCAAGGCGCGCGGCAAAGGCAAGCAGAAGAAGGACAAGGACAAGCGTCCTGATAAGCACGCGGACAGACCTCCCCGGAACAAGCTGCACACTGCGCGCGAACCGCCCCCGCTCCCCTTCCCGTCCTCGCCGCAGTTCCACACGCGGCTGACAAAAGCACATCTGCCTCCCTCTGCGGCAGCGGCGGCGGCGTCGTCGTCGGGGGCGACGCTCCTCGTCCCGTCCGCCGCGGTGTCGCGTACGCTCACATCGTCGTCTTCCGGCTCGGCGTACTCGCAGCTCGACCGCGGGGAGTCGCGGGCGCGGGCGGACCTCGAGCGCATGCGAAGCGCGTCGGTGTACTCCCAGGCATCCGCGTCGGGCTCCGCGCTGGACCTGGACCTGGCGCCTCCGCGCGATCGCGCTGGGTCGGGTTCGCGTGCTCGCGAGGAAAGGCACGCTACCTCGGCGGCTTCGCTCGCGCCCGCTCAGACTCAAGCTCAAGCTCAGGCTGAGCCAACCGCGGGTACAGGCGCGGGTCTGAGGCGCGGCACGAGAGCACGGGGCACGCCCGCGCAGCGGCACCTCGCGCGCAAGACGGCGCTGGGGAAGGTCGACGAGATCGTGGCGCGGAGCTACGGCGGGGGGAGCCCGGTTCCCATGAGCCCGAACAACTACGGGAAGATCGTGGGCGACGCTTGGGGAAGGGTGCGGGTGCGGGTGCGGAAGATGAGGTGATGGGCATGAGCATCGAGCAGAGGCTGGAGATGTCGAAGAGGCGGTAGACGGAGTGCCGGGTGCGTTTCTGTAGAGTATGTGATTTTATTTGTAGCACGTCGTTTCGGTTAAAGGTCATTGCTCCCATTGCTTGAGTATACATGGGGGTCTTGTCTTGGCGAGCATATCGTTGTGTGGTCTGTGTCAGGATCGTGCAGCGTCGGGAAGAAGAGCATACGGGATATCTCAAGGGTTCGCAGCCTTAGGGCGTATCGAGGCGAACCGATCCGGAAGGCGTGCGACGTGCACCTGCTCAAAGCTTCCCGCGGTAGAGGGCGAGCGAGACGGGCTTGATGATGAATGTGGAGAGATCTAGCTAAGCGACGAGGGGGAGGAAGCTTTGATAAGGCATACTCTCCCCAAGTGGAAACGCGTCGTGAGCCACGCATACATCCCTCGAGACGGGGCGGTCCTTCCGGGGGAAGATAGTATGATTGAAAGCGGAGATACGCAGGCGTAGGTGACGAGGGTGATCAGCCAGCCCACCGCTTCATAGCTTGGACGGCGCCATTTTGTGGTGGGTGCCCGACATGCACAACCTGCTGTTCGTGACATCCCAAATCTGCGTCGACGCGTCGGCAGGTGTGGAGGGGAAGGGGCGGGCAGGAGACTCACCTCTGTGACGGACGACAGCATACGCGAACCTGACGCGGTAGTCGTGTTCACAACCTCGATCGTCACCCCGCTGGGCACGTAGATCAGCCGGGGCCCGGGACTGGTGCTGGAGATGGCGCGAAGGGCACTCACGCGAGCGCAGGGGCATGGAAGGACGTGTTGAGAGCCTGCGAGACGGATCCCCACGGCTTCTTCTGGACCATGGCGAGTAGCGAGATGGCGGCAGACGAGCACCTGCGCGAGCAGCCAGAACAGTCTATTGAGCACGAGGGCACGGTGCGCAAGCCGACGGAAGGCGCAGGAGGGGAAAGTATGCACTCACACGTCGATGAGGTAGACCGCGCAGCCGCCGTGCATGCTCCCATTCCAGTTCAGCATGTCTGCCCGTCTGTCAACGCGGTGCTCCTGCCAGACGCGGCGCGCGGAGAGGCGACGCACCGGCTGCGACAGTGAGGCGGTACGTGACCCGCGCCTGCAGCTTGCCGTCGCGCTCGCGCGAGAAGACTTCGACCTCGGAGGGACGAGGCGCGAGGCGATGGAGAAGGCGAAGGTGCGCTTCGTCTGGCTGTCGCGGACCCATCGGTGGAAGAGGTCTTTGGCATGCGGTGGGACGTCGCCCTTGATGACGATGTCGTTGACGGTCGGGGCTTGGGGAGGCGCGGACATGGTAGTCGAGAAGACGGTGGATGTGGTGGGGTGGTGGACGGCGTGGACGGAGTGGACGAAACATGAGCTGGGCCGGGTCGGGTGGATGAGTAACCGGCTGGAGGCGCGATGCTGCAATGTGGTTGGCTCGCAGAGGCCCTCGTCGCTCTACGAGCTGCAAATGGTCCCAAAGAGCATGTAGGATACGACTTTGTATAGGATACGAGAACAGGCTGGTTACAAGGCGTCTTCGCTGAGTGAGACGGTGTCCTTGGAGGCCTGCAGAGAGCGAACGGCTCCCCAATGGGCCGTCCGGCCCGTCAGCTGTTGAAACGGCAACTCGAGCTCAACCGCTTAAGTCCCATCGTCTATGACGTCCGCGACCCCATCCCCTCAGCGAGGCCGAGACGCACGCACGCGCGTACATGGACTTACCGGTCGGATTTGGGGTGGTGTTTTGTCAAAGATCAGTTGAAGCATTGAAGTGGAGAAGGCGCCCAAAGCTTCTTTATCTTATCTTATCTTATCCTATCTCACAAGCACCGCGTCGAATACTTCCGTGCCACTCATGTTGCCACTAGTCTTTCATCGACCGGTATGCGAACATTTCATATCCACATGCTAGGGTGAGCTCGCCCGGACTTCTCTTACTTGAAACCAGACTGAAATCATACAGGCCACATCGATGCATCGTTCCTGGGTGTTGACCAAAAAATCAATTCTGGCGGCCCCGTGTTCCAGCGCAAATGTCATGCATTCATGACCCAAATTCCGATCGAAATATCGACTGAAATGGGCGTTCGAATTGCCTAGCCATCTCGACAAGCTCAGTCTCATCGGACATCGCAACGCAAGAAGCGCCGTTCGCCACGCGTCGGATGAAGTCCGTTGCTTTCAGCGGCGCACCGCAAACACACCGGGTCTCGTAAGTCATATGATCTCAAATATTATCCCTTCTTTCAAGAGGCCTGAGCTCAGCCTGCAGCTGAAGCCAGCAGCCGTATACAGTTTCAATACCTCTATTTCCAAATATCTGCGACAGTATGTAGATCTCGGCCGGTCCGCAACGTTTCTTGTTACCACAGCCACCAGCGTCAAGAAAAAAGCCGCTCAGCGAATATTTCACGGTTGACACAGTCTTCAGTAAGTATGTACTTGATCATGAGTACTGGTGTGGCTGCTTACACGATGGTTTCTACTACGCATCTTAATCGTGGTGTGCTCACCGTAAACGCGTCGGAAGTAGGTCGGTATTCCAATTCCAAGCCCCGTAGGAGGTCGGCTCAGCAAGAAGCCGGTGTGCATTCTTTTCAATTTCATATAGCGCACGTCCTCCGACCGTTGACGCCTGGTGAGCGCAGCTAAACCAGATATCGTGTTTGTTTACTAACTGCTAAGGCGACAAGACCTCTCCGAGTGGCATATATAACGGCCGATCTGTTCAGGATTTCCCTAACCAATCGTCTCAGCACCACATTCCTCCATCGTGAATCCTCTCAGCGCACAATGTAGAGCCTTCTCGATACCATTCACAACTTTTCCGGCCAGGTCTTCGACTATGTTATCGTAGGCGGCGGCACCGCCGGCCGAGCCGCCTCAGTACAGGTTATGCATAAATCCCTGTGAGAGCGCCCCGGGTTTATGCATACAGTACCTTATGCATACACAGATATATGCATAAACATTGAAGTATGCATACAGCGGTAAGAGCGTCAATATCCGTAAACAAAAGGACAGCCGCGTGAATCGAACCCGCAGCCTGTTGACATTGTACACATGCGACACAACAGACCACTACGCCAATGTTCCATGTTCTTTGTGCGTTGCTTATAGAATATATACTCTCTTCAATACTGACATAAACACAAGGCTTTTGTTGAACTCGTCGTTCATCACAGTCCAGTCATACTTCTCAACACTGCTTGCATACTCGCCCTCTCCTCGGGATGCTTACCTATGTCTAAGATTGTGTTTATACATACATCCGGTTTATGCATACGCCCCGTTTATGCATACGATTCGTTTATGCATACAACACGTTTATGCATACAGCGCGTTTATGCATACGATCCGTTTATGCATACAACGCGTTCATGCATACGGCCGGTTTATGCATACGGCCGGTTTATGCATACAGCCCGATTATGCATGCGGCGTGATTATGCATGCGGCATGATTATGCATACGGCGCATTTATGCATACGCCCCGTTTATGCATAAACGGTGCGTATGCATAAATGGTTCATATGGGTAAACACAGCGTATACCGGTGGGGCAAGACGACAGTCGTCAACCCCAGGGCCGAGTCCACGGCGGTGAAGGCGACAATGGACATAGAGGGCTGGTGTAAGCGTAGAAATGGGGAATCCGGGATATGACGCGTTGCGGGGAAAGCGAACGCGAAGAGAGTTGGATCGCGGGAACGCGAGGTGCGCGAGGAGGTCAGAATGGACGAGACCGAGGAGGATGACGAGCGCGAGTGCGACACCGAGGGCGAAGGCGACACCGAGGGCGAAGGGGAACGCGCGGTGCGTCTAGACCGATGCGTCGCGTAGGGCTGCCGTATCGATCCTAGGTGAACGCGGGCGGATCGCGATGGGCGTGTGCGAGGCGGGACGGACAACGTGCGCGGAAAACGTGCGCGAGGACGACATGGACGGGAGCCAGGCGAAGGCGCGTAGCCACTAGCGTGGTCGGGTGGTCGAGGGACGACGAGTGGACGTGAGTCGTAGAGAATGGAGCAACGCGACGCTGCGAGGACGCAGGAGCTGAGAGAGAGCTCTGGCGTCGATTCCTGGTGTGCGCGTCGACCGGTCATGGGTGTGATCACGAGGCCGGACACGGTGAGTACGCACCTCACGCTCGCCGCGCAGGCCGGGACGGCCGAGTGAGGCGGAAGGGCGCGCGCCGGCCAGGGACCATGCGCGGAGGTGTTCCTCGAGCACAGCCACCCCCGCAGTGCCTGGATGACGTGCGGGTCGATCACATCCCGCTTTTCTCGGAGACGCGTCTCATCTCACGGCCCGCCCGCGCGTACTTGCAAGAGCACGAATAGTATGAAGCATTCTACGAAACAAACATTACTACGCCCTCTACGGCCCTCTACAAAGGGCGCACCCAGTTGCGAGCGCAGATTCGGTTCCACTTCTGGAGGTTGAACCCGCCTTGGACGTTGTCCAGGCCAAGCGCCTCGATGAGTTTGCGACCCAACCTATGCGGTACGGTAAGTAACAGGCGCGTAGATACAAGAGGAGAAGCACTCACGCGGCCACTACGTCCGATCGGAACTTCTTCCCATTACCCGGCTGTTTCTTGCCCGACTTTCCTTTCCCCCCGCCCCCCATGTTTCTGCAACGCTCCGTCAGCTTGCCCTCACGCGCGTAATAGAATGCGACTTACCGGGTGCCAGCCCCAACTCACGGTCGTCCGATGTAAGAACCTACAGCGGCCATGGGGGAACGTAAGGCTCCCGCCGTTGTTCTTCTTCACCTTGATGCGACCTCCAAGGCCGTTCTGGATGGCCTGAAGCGCACATGTTAGCGCATCGTCGTGGCAATGAAGCCGGAATACGTACCTCACATACTAGTGCGACCTCCATACCATGTACGGACCCCGCATAATCTGATGCAAGGTCTGCGTGCGATGGTCGGAATCGTCAGAAAACGTATGTAAGTGGAACGATAAGAATACTCACGTTGCGGTGCTCGATGCTCATAGGCGGCATGGTGAGCGAGTCAGCGACAGCGATGAGTGGGTGAGGTGCGCTGGGAGAGTGGATGTTGACGGTCCGGGGCGCGAGCGCGGGTGGAGGGTGACACGTGGGGTGAAGGCACCACGAGTGAGGGTGGTGCGGCGACGGTCGTGGTGGCGTGAGTGGAGCATGGACGGTCTTTCAGGACCCAGCGCGAAGAAGAGTGACGAGCTACTCACCTTAGACTGCACGCGGGTGAGGCCGCGCGCGAGAGGTTGTCACGACCGGGGGTACGTTCGCGGAACAAGACCGAGAGTGAGATTTGCGGCGGGTCCGGCGGTCGCAAAGGGGGAGGGGGATGGTCTGTTGAGGACCCAACGCGAAGAGGAACGAGGAAAAGCTCACCTGGGCTATCGCGGGCGTCACACGTGCGCGTGTGGCAGAGCGTCGACACGCGTGGAGGACGGTAGGCGGTCGCGGCGGCGTGGAAGATGAAGGGCACGGGGGAAGGTCGGGGAGAAGATCCAGCGCGAAGACGAGTGACGACACTCACCTGGGCTAGCACGCGCGGGAGACGTGCGCGGGCGGCAGGGCGTCACCACCGGCGTCACCAACGCGGTAGTAATCTGGTTGTATAGAGGAGTGCTTTCGTTGGGGCAGAAAGAAGAGGTGAGAGAGGGAGCGGCGAGGAGAGGAGAGGAGGGCAGAGGAGAGGCGGCGAAGACAGACGAATGGTGAGACGCCCGTAGAGTGTCGCACGACGTAGCGAGACACTCACCGAGCACTCGGAAACGGACCACGATGTCGATCGTCGTGCTTTCTGGATGCGTTCGAGAGCGAGAGGCCGCCGACAGACGACAGTGGATGGAGGGCGAGGATGTGGCAAGCGCGGGAGCGTGGAGCGTGGAGCGGGGCGCTGAACTTTCGATTAGCTTCTCGCGTTTGTGATATCGCACGCGTGCTCACAAGGTGCGTTGCGTCTCGCGATGCGTAGCGTCTCTGGTCGTTCCTCACCTCGATCGCCTTTGGCCTCGTTCGCAAGGCCCGCTTGAGTGGTACTTCCTGGCGTTTCGGTGTTCCAAGCTCTTTAATTTCTGAGCATCCCCCTTCCTCACATGGGTCGACGACATCTAGCACGGACGACACTACTATGGCTAGACGACATCTCGCCAGGACGACGCTGCTCACTATTTGGACGGGCCTCGGTGTCTTCGGCAATGTCCGCAGGGCACCGCTTGACTCCTGGTCCGTGATCCGTCGCGGCGTTCAGTTACGGCCCGAGGGTTCGGCGTTTATTCCGGCAACTTACCGGCGTCTTGCTCCAGCGTTG